ATACGATTCCAGTCTGCAGAATGCAACAGTGCGCCTAGCATTCTGCTGATCTCTCTATCAATTGTTCCGGCCATGAAATTTGAACTAGAATATAGTAGAGCCTAGAGAACGAAGCGTTCTGTGTGTCCAAGCGGCCCTTTCTTCCTCATGCTTCTGTTGTCTAGGTAGATCGTGATGCTTGTTGAAACGAATCAACCATAGCGTATGCCAAGATTACATAGCAGTCTCTCTCGTAGTCTTGCTTCCAAGTCTATTGATTTTCGCGTTAACCATGGCGACGTCACTGCCTTATATCACGCATCGTTGCTGTCTGGTTCAGTAACAACAGTAACAGCTAGCAATAGAAAGTGTAACGTGCTGATTGTTCATAATTAAGTAGTAACGGATGAAGACCTGGAAATGGTGAAACACCCTGTTTTGTGAAGAGTTCTGGATCGTGATCAAACATAACCTCCATCTGAGTTCAAGTATAACAACATCTGTTAGAGTGCTCCACGAGAGCTATTCTGAGTTATTCTCTGGTTTCGCCACATTTTCTTTTTTGCCTTTTCTTGGTCCCATATATATCATTGACGACGGTGTTGTGAGTGAAATATGCCCCAAGGTTTCCTTATAAATATACATCGTAAATCCATAGCCTTACGACGTTTAGGATACACTTTGCTCTTGTATAGATAAGTCGGAGTATCCCTTCACTTACGAACCAATCTGCATTATAAGAACCATCTTCTGCAAAGACTGAGATCTCGAAAGTATGCCATCGCAACAGAATAGGGGCCCCGAGCTCCTCGGCGTGCAGGCGGCATTTCTCGCGGCAGCCTGGATTGCCACATGTCTCCGACTATACGTGAAAACAGCCTTGACGAAGAGTCACACAGTCGACGATGGCGTCATGTATCTTTCAACCGTAAGCTTTTCTTTCAAGGTCGTTGCCGCACGACCGGTCTAACAACACCCAAGGTCATGTACACCGTTTACGCAGCCGCCGCCGTCCACGGTATTATCAACGGCGGCATAGGCCGACATACCTCAGATCTGGACCCAGACAGCATTGTTATAGCGCTCAAGGTCTGGTACATGTGCGAGATTCTTTACGCCTTCATATCCGCCCTCATCCGGACCTCGATCTGCCTCTTCCTCCTCCGCATCTTCAACCGCGGGACAAACAAGCTGGCTAAGAA